TCTCTTCCCTTTAGAATGTAAGTAAGTTCTGTGAGGGCAGAAACCTTGTGTGTCTCATTTACTGTTGAATTCCTGGGGCCTAGAGCATACGGTAGGCACTGAATAAAATATTTGGTGAATTAATGAATTTTAAAACTGACTAAATGTGTATAACTGAAAAAGTAAGTTGTGGTTATTAATTTTAAACTTCTTAAAAATCATTATTTCTTTTCTTTTCTGTTTTTTTTTTTTTTGACTGCTGGCCAGTACCAGGATCCAAACCCTTGCTGGTGTTATCAGCACTACACTCTGACCAAGTGAGCTAACAGACCAGCCTTTTGTTAAGTCTTTTACCAAGAATGTTAAGCTCTCTTTTTTGTGCTCTTGTCTATACTCTGGAGTTGCTAGCAAAGGAACTTGAAAATAGCCATAGATGGTAGGAGGAATATCAAGGGATCTAAATAATATGTGTACTGATCAACCCCTGATAACTGAACTTATAAATTAAGTCATCCTTCTTATCACTTACCTGGCTTCCTTCATGCCAGAGGACTGAAAGATTCTTTCTTCTAAAGGCCTATTGTCCTTTTCTTCTTATGTCTACTTTGCCTGACACATAATAATTCCTTAGCAGTGTTTTTCAAATGAATGAGAGCTAATCTAAACCCCTTCCAGATTTTTGTGAATCTTTGATATTTATGGTGCATGTGCCTTTCCCATTTTTATTCCTAGCGGTGTCTGCATTTTGTCATTGGGAACCTAACAACAGGCCCCTGGGTGTGTTTGTACATGGCTTCCATTCCTTACTTAGAGTTGGGCCATCTTTATTAACATCAGTTAATTAATAGAGAAATGATCACATCACAACCAGGTTCAGAGAATTGACTTTGTAGCCCCCAATGATACATTCCATCCTCATTCTTTTTTTTTTTTTTTCCTTTTTGTCTTTTTTCGTGACCGGCCACGGATTGCAACCCTCGGTGTTGCTCCCGCACCTCGCTCAGCCAGTGAGCGGCCGGTCTGTATGCGGGATCCGAACCCTCGGCGGGAGCGCTGCCGCGCACAGTGCACCACTGGGCTGGCCCAATTCCATCCTCATTCTATTAAAAAAAGATGGATAGGGGCCGGCCCGTGGCTCACTCGGTAGAGTGCGGTGCTGATAACACCAAGGCCATGGGTTCGGATCCCATATAGGGATGGACGGTTCGCTCACTGGGTGAACGTGGTACTGACAACACCAAGTCAAGGGTTAAGATCCCCTTACCAGTCATCTTTAAAAAAAAAAAAGATGGATAGATAAATCTGCATTTACGTAGAAAATCTATTTCCTTTGTTCTTTTTTTTGGCTAGCTGGTATGGGGATCCAAACCTGTGATCTTGGCGTTACAATGCTGCGCTCTAACCAATTGAGCTAACCTAGCCCCTAGAATCTATTTTCTTATCTTGTACATTGACCATTTTAAGATCTACCTTTCATTCTGATAAAACTATTTAACATAGATTTTTTGAAATTATCTCAGTTATTAAAAATTATATTCTAAATCTTGGGTTTTCTTCACTTCCCTCCCAGCATTCAGATTACTTTCTCTTTTGAGTAAATATTACTTTTTATCATTTATGCATTCTGCTGACTCTGAGTATATGAGCCTTTTCCTCTGCAGCCTCTAGGACCCCCTTTTTATGCATCTTTGTTTTCTGTTCTACAGTACTTGCTGAAAGCATCTCATTTTCGCTTAGCAGTACCTCTTAATGTGTGTATCCCTCTCCTGTCATTTATTGCTTAGTTCTATAAAATGCTTACATTTCATCTTGAAGAATAGATCAAGGAGACAGACACACTTTGAGTGCCATGCCCCGACACATGGTCTACTTGTCAAGCAGTACAGTTACAAATGAGCTGGGAGTTAAATTCTAGTGAGTGGCAGCATCAGTATTCAAGATTTCACTTTTTGTCACACTGTTTATACTCAGAAATGTGTTGCTTTTTGGTTTTGAGATGGCATCAGTTTGACCTCGTTGGTAATCTAGAAGTTTGTTTTAATTGTCAGGTAGAAAACTAACAATTGATTCAGCAGACTAGAAATGAGGGAGAAATTTAAAAGAAACAAAAACATTAGCTGGATTTTTTTTTTTTAATGGGATATCGGGTCATTCTCATTGTTGTTAAATATTTAAATGTTTTTAAAAAGACAAGTCACTTTAAAGTGAAAAAATTTTAAGGCAGGAGTGATGGAAATTGCAAGGAGCAACAGAGTAAGGGAATGATTTAAGAATAACTGTGGACATTTAAGAAAGAGAGCCTTCTTCCTCCCATTGTGATGTCCCTTTGGTGAAATGGTAAAACAAAGCCCAGCAAATTGGGAAGGAAGCAGGAAATCAGTTAGTGACTGTCAGTTGAATATTTAAGAGCAGTGAGAATTCTTACTTCTCTATAGATTTTAATGATGTTTCTGCCCAAGGTTTTTTTGTTGTTTTTGTTGCTTTAAGGAAAGCCATGATTTTTCATCTCTATCTCATAGTAAGGATGCCGTTAAATAAAAATTTGAAGCCATATATTGTGATGAGATTTTGCAAAGCCAACTTAAGTTTTGAATTTTATGGTTTGAGGGAAACCATTCAGAATTTATTTAATCACTTCCTATGCCGGTGCAGCCACACTTCTCAGCCAGGATCCTTTCCATCCTCCAAACAGAAAATGAGAATATTTAGCCCCAAATAACAGAACCAAGATAAAAGTATGGAATCTTACCTGGTCCCTGTGTTATGTTTACTCTAGCACTTGTAGTTTACTTCCTGGTTGAAATAAAACTCATTTCATGATTATATTAGGAAAGCAGGTTATGGAACTAGGAAGTGAAATTATCTTTAGGACAACAGTTATGAATTTTTCCAGAAGGAATTGCTTTCCAGACATGCTCTGAATTTTCAGTCATAATGGCCTTGGTCTTTGCATTTATTTACTTTTATTTATTTTTTGCAGTATTGTAGTTCCAGAAAGTGCTAAAAAAAAATCATCATGTATTTAAAACAAACAAACCAGAAAACCCCCTTGTCCTGGGGCTGTATGAAGAAGAATGAAGCTCTCATTTCCCAGTACCCAGTCATCAGCTCAAGCTGGCCTCTCCTAGGAACAGAATTTATTGAAGCAATTTATCCTGGCTAAATGTGATATAAATCTGTGTACACGTATGTACATACAGGCTGTCTTCTATTACAACAGTGCTGCAGCATCAGTTTCCTTCATAGTTTAGAGCATGTTCCTATCACACTGAAAGATGACCAAGAAGCCCCTTCTATTTTATGAGGCACCCCACAATTTTAAACACCGATTAGTTGTGGAATTACTGATTAGACAAGCAGAAATACTGGTTTCTAACCCCAGAGTGAGTCCTAAGGGAGTAGGAGAGATGTTACTTAGTGCCTTCTGAGTTTTAAGCATGGTTTTCTGATTACCAGATTCAGTCTAGCATGTTCACATTTTATTTTATTTTATTTTTTTCTACTGACTGAGCTAGCCAGAACATTTTATTTTAATGCAGGCCTGAATGAGATTGATCTGACATTTTGGTTTATCTCCAAGATAAAAATATGAAATTTGGTTATATTTCTGAAGTCATTTCCAGGCATGTTCAAATCGAAGTTCCTCTCTCATCTTCCCTTGTTCATATTCTTTTGTAAAGATGTTTGAAAATGTCCTTTAGGAGTTTATTCTGTAAGACTCTTTTTATCTCTCCACCCCATCCCCATTTTTCTCTTTCATCCTTCCAAAATACGGTTTATCTTTTAGGAATATTTTTACTATGATTTGCATTTCTAATTCTTATCCATCTCCACCTCTGTTTTTATTTCTAGTTGAAACATGAGAAATTTCCCCAACACATTTACATTGGAATTATTGTTCTTGACAAAGAATTTTGATCAACTTTCATCCTTCCAAAATACGGTTTATCTTTTAGGAATATTTTTACTATGATTTGCATTTCTAATTCTTATCCATCTCCACCTCTGTTTTTATTTCTAGTTGAAACATGAGAAATTTCCCCAACACATTTACATTGGAATTATTGTTCTTGACAAAGAATTTTGATCAACATTTCAAGAGTTTAGCTTCAATAATTAAAAAAAAAAAAAAAAACCAGCATAAACCCTTCAGAGAAATAGAGGGGATGAATGGTGGTGCCTTTTAGTGCCATTTCTTTTATCCCCTGCAGCAGCACACATCTGTTGGCTGCAATAGAGCAGCCCAAGAACTCTGGCCGAAAGCAGCACAAACAGCCGGAACATATTCACCCAGTAAACCCCCAAAGAGTCGACATTTGTTTTATTGCTGCTTTTAAAAACCTAGCCATAAATAGAACCAGAGGGGGGAAGGGCATCAATATTTCTCCATTTGCCACAGACGATTGGTGGGGGGAGAAGGAGCCTCCCAGTGGGGAGAGAAGGTTTTTATTTTTATTTTTTTATTAATGAAAATCATTTCCCGTGTAGCCCAATAGGATGGGTGCTTTGTTTTCTTTGGCAATAATCTGGGATAAACGGCCCTTGCCAACAGTCTCAGAGTTTATACACCAGGGAGCCAGATTATGGCCCTGTAAAATGGAGCACCCCTCCTATAATCCCTTAATTAATTAAATGACAAATTTTGGTCTTCTCTAGTTCAGAAATATGGCTTCCGCATCAAGTGTTCAGTGAATTTATTGACATAGGGAACTGCACTGGTTGTAATTTAGCAGACTGGAGTGTGCTATATACTGTAGCAGAAAGGGAAAATCTAGAAAAGGATTGAGATTCCTTGACTACTTTGGTCTAAATTTTTCTAATTAAAAGTTTCATTTGAGGCACAGTAGATCATATTCCACCTGTCTAATAGGTCTCCCCAAAGTAGCCTGGGTTTACAGCTTTGATAGATGGCATTCTTGGAACACCTGTTTCTAGGCTTGATATTTTTGAAGCCCCTCCCCCCCTTTTTTTTGCTCCAGCGTATTTAACATAACTTTTTTTCTCAACTTCCCCCTCCTCAGCTCTGCTCTGCTATATGAAATATGGGAGACGACAGACCGTTTGTGTGCAATGCCCCGGGCTGTGGACAGGTACGTTTACAATATACTTTATTGTGAATGTCTCGTTGTGAATCAAAGTGGCTGTTTTATCACTAAGGCAAAGAGTTTAAAGCTGGTATTTTACGTGATCACTGGAGGTAATCAGATCAGAGGATTTGCAGTGTGTAAATCCAAGTTATGAGGAAGTGTAGGCACTCCACCATAATGAAATCTGCCTTGCTCTCTTCCATATTGTTATTCTACTGGTGTTTGTTTTCCAGCACACAGTGTTGAAGAATATGTGTTGCTCTCTCCTTCTTTCTAAAGCTATTCATCTAAATACAAAGCAAGTTCAGAAATATCTTCTCCTCAACCTCCATGGATATAAAAGTCTGCCTAACATCTTTAGAGAGGCAGATGAGAATGTACCCATTCATTGTGAACTCCAGTTTGCCAGAGTCTATTAGGATTTTTTAAATAAGAAAAAAAAATGTTTCTTTTGACCATTCATCCAGAAAATTATTGTTAGTAGCTAAGGCACGTATTTATCTGGGATAGACAAATACAACAGAACTTGAAGGGCTAGCTGGTTAGTTTAGTTGGTTAGAGTACAGCCTTATAATACCAAGGTCATGGGTTTTGATCCCCACACTGGCCAGCCACAAAAGAAAAAAACATAAAAAACATAGACCTTGAGACCTCACAACATTATGTAAACATTTTCCCTGTCTGATGCTATGAAATGCATTGTTTTGTGTGTCAGCTGCCACATAATTATTTGTATATGTGTACATTATGTGTCAAATATTTTCTCCGCATGCTTTTTAAAATAAATTTTGTTGAAATTGCCTTTTTTTTTGTTTCCCATTTTGCACCTTCTTTATTCTTCCTAGACCCTCACCTATTGCCATGTTTCACAAGGGTGAAGAAAGGAATACAAAGAAAGTTTTACCTGCCTTCATTAATTCATTTTATAGAACCTGAAGGGTTGAGTTTCTATTTAGTTAAGAATATGTCATGTGACTGTCCAGTGACACTTACTGGTGGTATATGAGATTGCAAGCTAGTTCTATTAAACATTGTAAATACTTAGACAAAAAGAAGAGCTAAATTCCAGAGATTCCTAAGAATTGGAATTTGAGAGGTAGATGAGATGGGGGAGGTAACAAGAAATGAACAGAAGAAAGATTCCAAATTCCAGTAAATGTTGAAAATTTCCAACAAAACCATTCCATTCTGCAATATTCAGCATCCTGGAGTGTATTTCCTTCCTTATCAAAGTCTTCAGCTGTGTTGTTGGACTGTGTGTTTCCCCATGTGTTTTATATATATATATATATATATATATATACACACACACACATATTTTTTTTTAAACAATAAAAGCCAGTTGTGAAAATAGGGTAAATTTGTTTCACGTTTCAGACAGCTTTATTAAAATATATATCTAAAAATGATCCTTCCAAATTTTTGTGTATAAATTTAATAGCACTATGTACTATGACTCCCACAACTGATACCTGGTACCCTTCTCACCTTTTCAGTTCTGTCCTTTACTCAAAAAATCTGCATTTTTGGTGAAAAGGTTTATTTTTCTCATACCATTATTTTTTTTCACTTATTGTCTGAGCTCCTGTACCCCTCTTATAAGTTGTATGCTTAAAACCACCCAGACACATACTTCTTAAAGAAATAAAAATGGATGATGAAAAATAAAGAATACATAAGAAAAGCATCTCTTAAGCTCTCTGAGGAAGAAAAATATAAATAACATCTTTTCAGGCTCTTTCATGAGAAAAGAATAGTCACTGAAATTTGTGAGATTTTTCAAATTTGTGAAATTAATGTTTGATTTTTTTGTTTGTTTTGCTTTTTTTTTTTGATTGGAGGTAGGGAAATAGTAGAGACTTTTTACTTTGGTTCCTTCCTGTATTGTTGGGTTCTGTTTACCATAACCCATTTTCTTCCCCTACTTCTCCCTCTTATTTCTGAATAGTGTGTTGGTATTCTGGCTTAGGTTCTGAAAGCTTTTTTCCCTCAGTGGGAAGGTGAATGTGAAATTCAGGGAAATTGCTACTTTCTTCTTTGGGATTCAAGGTATTTGTTTCATAGAAAAAGGATAGAAAGCTACAACCTAAGACTTTGAAGGTAGCATGATTCATCCCTTTACCTCCTTTGCATGTCAAAACTTTATAGTCAAGTGAGATTATAGTTCTTGTTATAATTAGTTTCCTTCCAATTTTCTCCCAATATCTGATAACAAATAACTCTAGAGTAGGATTTCTACAAGATTTACTATGATTGCTTTATGTTATATGAAATAGTGAAAATCTGGCAGAGAAGATAAGTTTGCTAAACTACCCTTGGCCTGTCATCCAACTTCCTTATATCCTTATATCCCTTGAGAATGGTTTCATTCTGGATCCACCTTGAGGCCTTCAAGCTATTTACAGTCCACTTGTCCTTTATTCCAGAAATGGCAGAATAGTAAATAGGCTACATAAGCCCCAAGAGGGGTAATAAGGACCATGATAATTTTTGCAAGGCATGGTGTGGAACCTACTAACATAGACATTTCTTTTTTTTTTTTTTTCTTTTTTGTGACCGGTAAGGGGATCACAACCCTTGGCTTGGTGTCGCCCAGCACCGCGCTCAGCCAGTGAGCGCAGCGGCCATTCCTATATAGGATCCGAACCCGCAGTGCGAGCGCTGCCGCGCTGCACTCTCCCGAGTGAGCCATGGGGCCGGCCCAAGCATAGACATTTCAAAAAGCAGTGGCTTCTACCAGATAGAGGAAGAAGGAATGAAAGCAAATTGTCATTCAGGAGACTGATTCTTAAAAAAACAACCAACAAACAAAAAACTGTAGGAATCTTGCCTTTTTTCAATATCTGTTCCCTGCCCAGACTTTATCCTTTGTACCCCTAAACTCAAAAATCATCCTATGCCTTAATATTGAGGGAAGGCGAAGGAAAATTCAACTAAAATAGACTAAGGGAATATACTCTCCACTATATAATCAAAACCACCAGGCTTTCAATGGATACATAAACATGTTTTGGTTGCTAGGTCTTTAATGGCTGTTATTTTTGGATTCTGTGCATGATCCACTTCCCAACAGTAAGTTGATGTGACACAGCTGAGTTCTAAATATGCCACAAGTACTTTAAGAAAAAAATGGCTGCTGAAGGTTGTGCTGTCTGCATTCTTATCTAAAAAGACAGGTGATAGGGGTTTTTTACCCCTCTTATTCCGATTCTCCTGCTGAGACTCTTTGTTTCTCTCGAGGCCTCAGTGCCCTCCTGAAGAGGAACTCAGGGAAAGCAATATTCCTGCTAATACCTCTCTGTGGAATGTGATTGCAGTAGTAGTTAGTAGAGCTGTCTCCTGAGAATGGGGTTAGTGTTGTTAAGGCAACAGTGCCCCAAATAACCTGTTGGCAGAGGACTGGTTAAATATGTGTTATATGGGTTTTTGAAATGTTTATAAAATAGCATCTATTTAAAAATATTGTAACTATAAAATGGCTCTGCTCTGTGTTACTGTAAAATAATAGAAATATAGTTTGGCGCTGAATCTAGGAAGTCATGTTGGGTGGACACTTTTATTTAAAAGTGGATTCTAAAGTTTTTTGTATGTGGAAGTAGGAATAAATGTTATGTCTCTGTCAGTACACTTGAATTTGAGATGTTATTTCATGTGGATGCAGTTAGATAACTTTTGGATGCTTTTTGCCCAGTTTTACCACCAGGAGTCAACAAATTCCATGTTCCTATACTTACATGTAAGGCCATGACACTGGTTTGCAGTACAAATGAGGTAGATTTAAGTAGTCCTTCTGGTTACCATTATCAAGTCTTTGAGCAGAAGCTGGTCATATCAGTTTATTAGTTAGATTGCCTATTTCCTTAAGAACAGGAACACATTTCCTCTGAGACGATACTACTCATGAACAGTTAGTGTCATCCCATTATTAGGCATTCAGAAAGGTTTCTGTCACAACCACTCTATCAACTCTGTCCTTTTAAGGAAAAATCCTTTGATTATTTCTCTGTCCATTATGACCCTGGGGGGCTGTTATTCTTTTTTTCCCTGAAGACTATCAGATCTTCTCTTCTGCCAGAGGACAGTTAGGTACAGGTTGAGATTCTCTTGATATCTTTCTAACTGAGACATGAAATAAATAACTAACTCAGACCCCTGAGGCCTACTTTTCCTTTCTAAAGCCAAGAATAGCGATGGAGCCCTAGTTGTGGTGGGACTGAGAGCAGCTTCTTATACCTCCTTATCTTGTCATATAATAGGAATAATGTTTATGGTGCTGTAGTCCTGGCTTCACTTGGCATTTAACCAACCTCCAAAGCCATTTATTGCTTCGTATCCTCTGTCTCCATGAACATTATCCCTTAAATCTCTATTGCACTGTAATATATGAGGCAACAAATAGCTCCTATGATTGGTTAAATGCTGGCATGCTGCAAAGGTGTATGTTTTATTGCCTATATAACACAAATCTATAGAGATTATTTCTGTTATCCCAGCCCTACCATTAAATGGGCCATACTGGTACTATGGGACTCTGGATCTTTAATCCTATCCCTTTGGCAAGCTTCCCTATTACCTGGCATGAGCACAAAAGAAAAGCAAGGAAGAATAAGTTGATGCTATTACTAATTCTTTATGTTACTAATTCTTCATCTTGAGTTGAAGAATAACAAGAGAAGAAATGGCTCTGATAGGTAAATGCCATTCGTGGTAGTAGTTGCTATGTTTACAGCTTCGACAGGTGAGGGCAATTTCAAGCAAACAAATAAGATTTTTTTCCTCACCCCCTGCCAAGAGTTTAAAAAAATTCAAATTTTTATTTAATAATTCATATTTCATTCAATAATTCATCCAGTTCCCATCTGGTAAAAGTGCCTGCATGCTGTCAGGCAGCTGAAAATACACTGCATTATACACAATTAGGCCAAACGTTAATGTTATTTTTTGTAATATGTTGATTTTGCAATAACTTTCAGTCTAATCTGGGTATTGCTGCAGTTTTATGT